CGGAGCCCCCCCAGCCCCCTGAGCACCCCCGGAGCGCCCCCAGCTCCCTGAGCACCCCGGTGCCGCCCCGCAGCCGCGGTTTCTCGCTGCTGATCATGAAGAACGAGAACGTGACCTCGCTGGGGCTGCGCTCGCTGCGCGAGGTGAGCGCGGGCCGCGTGTACATCACCGAGAACCGGCGGCTCTGCTTCCTGCACACCGTGCACTGGGCCGCGCTCAGCCGCAGCCGCGCCGACCTCGACATCCGCAACAACCGGCCCCGCAGCAAGTGCCGTGCGTGGGGCGGGCTGGGGAGGGGGCGCGGGACCCCCCGGGCACCCCCTGACCCCTGCAGGGACCCCCGGTCCGTCCCATAGGGGAGGGAACACCAGGACTCCATTCCTTCCACAGGGAGGGGGTGTAGGACCCCCCCGTGGGATCCCCCCCCCGGGCACCCCCAGACCCCTCCAGGGACCCCTGGTGCATCCCATAGGGGAGGGGACGCCCAGATCCCGCAATGAACCCCCATTCCTTACACAGGGAGGGGGCGTGGGACCCCCCCCCAGGCACCCCCAGATCCCTTCAGGGACCCCCAGTCCGTCCCATAGGGGAGGAGACACTGGGACCCCCAGATCCCCCACTGAACCCCCATTCTTTACACAGAGAGGGGGCGTGGGATCCTCCCCCAGGGACCCCCAGACCCCTGCAGGAACCCCCGGTCTGTCCCATAGGGGAGGGAACACGGGGACCCCCAGATCCCCCACTGAACCCCCACTCCTTCCACAGGGAGGGGGAGTGGGACCCCCAGCTCCTCTCTGACCCCAGCCCCGCTGTCCCCCTGGGTGTCCCCAGCCCCGCTGTCCCCCTGGGTGACCTCTGTCCCCGCTGGGTGACCCCAGCATAGGAGGGCATGAGGGACATGAGGGGCACGGGGGACACTGGGACCAGGAGGGGCACGGGGGACATTGGGGACAAGGCGGATGCGAGGGACACAGAGAAACGGGGACGCGGGGGGCACAGGGGGGCACCGGCACTGCGGAGACCCCCGGAGTGGGCACTGGGGTGGGGGATCAGCCCCAGGGCAGGATGGGCATGGGGGGTCGCAGGTGAGCCGGGCACTGGTGCGGACCGCGGAGTGGCCCTGTCACCGCCGGGGTGGCATTGTCACCACTGGATGGCACTGTCACCATCGGGATGACATTGTCACCGCCGGGATGGCATTGTCACCGCCGGGGTGTCCCTGTTACCAATGGGATGGCACTGTCACCACCGGGGCATCCCTGTCACCACCAGGGTGGCATTGTCACTACCGGGATGGCATTGTCACCACTGGGATGCCACTGTCACTACCGGGGTGGCTCTGTCACCGCCGGGATGGCATTGTCACCACCGGGGCATCCCTGTCACCACCAGGGTGGCATTGTCAACACCGGGGTGGCATTGTCACCGCCAGGGTGGCATTGTCACCACCGGGGCGTCCCTGTCACCGCTGGAGTGGCATTGTCACGACCGGGGCGTCCCTGTCACCGCCGGGCCGGCACGGTGACCCCCCGTGTGCCCCCCAGGGACCCCCGGGAGTTCTCGCAGGGCGGCGAATGCACCGAGTGCCACCCGGAGTGCGAGCGCATCGACGGCGGCGCCACCTGCAACGGCTCGGTACGGCCCGGCCGCGTCCCCCCGGTGTCCCCGCGGTGTCCCCACCCGGCAGAGTGGGGGTCCCAAAAGCTCTTTGGGAGGAGAGTGAGGGTCCCAAAAGCTCTTTGGGAGGAGGGTGGGGGCCCAAAAGCTCTTTGGGGAGCTTCTTTGGGGGCCCCGGGCAGGTTGGGGGGCTCAGGACCCCACTGGGACCCTGTGGAGGGCGGGGTGGGGGTCCCAAAAGCTCTTTGGGAGGAGGGTGGGGGGTCCTGGGGCATACCCCCCCTCACCCCGCAGGGTGCCGACACGTGCACGCGCTGCGCCCACTACCGCGACGGGCCGCACTGCGTGGAGCGATGCCCCGAGGGCGTCCTGGGCGAGCGCGGCCCCATCTACAAATTCCCCGACGGCAGCCGCGAGTGCCGGCCCTGCCACGAGAACTGCACCCGGGGGTGCGTCCGGCCCGGGGGGACCCGGGAGGGGTGGGGGGCCCTAAAGGTCTTGGGGAGGACGGTGGGGGTCTTGGGGTATCAATGGGGGCAGGGTGGGGGTCCCAAAAGCTCTTTGGGAGGAGGGTGGAGGTCTCAAAAGATCTTTGGGAAGGAGGGTGGGGTCCCTAAAGATCCTTGGGAGGAGAGTGGGGGTCCTAAAACCTCTTTGGGAGGAGGGTGGGGGGTCCTGGGGCATCATTTGGGGCAGGGTGGGGGTCCCAAAAGCTCTTTGGGAGGAGGGTGGGGGGTCCTGGGGCATCATTTGGGGCAGGGTGGGGGATTCAGGACCTCACTGGTGGCATTTGGGGATCTGGGGACCCCACGAGGGGCAGGCTGAGGGTCCTGAGACCTCGTCCGGGGCAGGTGGGGGGGTCTGGGGACCCCGCGGGGCACAAGTTGGGGTCCCGGGTCTCCGCCGGGGGGTCCCCCCGGGCTGACCCCCGTGTCCCCCCCCCCCAGGTGCGTGGGGCCGCTGCTGCGGGACTGCCTGGGGGACACCCTGCCCGTGTCCAGGTACCGCGGGGGGGGGTCGGGGCATCCCGGGGGGGCTGTGGGGACATCCTGGGGCTGTGGGGACATCCCTGGAGGTGTGGGGACATCCCGGGGGGGTCACAGGGACCCCGGGGTGCTGCGGGGACCCTAACCCTGTGCTTTCCCACGTCCCCCGTCCCCATCCCTGTCCCCGTTCCTCATCCTCGTCCCCATCTCGGTCCCGTCCCTGTCCCCATCTCCATCCCCGTTCTCGTCCCCGTTCCTGTTCCTATTCCCATTCCCATTCCTGTTCCCGCCCCGTTTCCATCCCGTTCCCGTCCCCGTTTCCTTTCCCATTCCCTTTCCCGCCCGGTTCCCGTTCCCATTCCCATTCCCGTTCCCGTTCCCATCCCCGTTCCCATCCCTGTTCTCGCCCCGTTCCCGCCCGGTTCCCGTTCCCATCTCCGTCCCCATCCTCCTTCTCGCCCGGTTCCCTCCCCGTTCCCGTTCCCATCCCCGTTCCCATCCCCGTTCCCGCCGGTTCCCGGTGCCGCAGGCGCGCCCCGACGCTGATCGCGGTCATGGTGGTCGGGGCCGTGTTCCTCTCGTGCTCGCTGGTGCTGCTGGCGCTGCTCTACTGGCGGGGCAAGAAGATCCAGAAGAAACGGGCGATGCGGCGCTACCTGGAGCGGGGCGAGGTCAGCCGGGACACCGGGGCCGCACCGGGGTGGCAGCGGTCCCTGTCCCCGTTGCCACGCCATGTCCCTGTCCCCATTCCCATTGCCAGCCGTGTCCCTGTCCCTGTCCTCATTCCCGTTGCCACACTGTGTCCCTGTCCCTGTCCCCACGCCGTGTCCCTGTCCCCATTCCCATTCCCATGCCATGTCCCTGTCTCCATGCCATGTTCCTGTCCCTGTCCCCACACCGTGTCCCTGTCCCCACACTGTGTTCCTGTCCCCACGCCGTGTCCCTGTTCCCATTGCCACGCCGTGTCCCTGTCCCCATGCCATGTCCCTGTCCCCACACCGTGTTCCTGTCCCTGTCCCCGTTGCCACACTGTGTCCCTGTCCCCATTCCCATTCCCAGCCGTGTCCCTGTCCCTGTCCCCATGCCGTGTCCCCATCCCCGTCCCCATTGCCAGCCGTGTCCCCGTCCCCATTGCCAGCCGTGTCCCTGTCCCTGTCCTCATTCCCGTTGCCACACTGGTCAGCCGGGACACCGGGGCCGCACCGGGGTGGCAGCGGTCCCTGTCCCCGTTGCCACGCCATGTCCCTGTCCCCATTCCCATTGCCACGCCATGTCCCTGTCCCCATGCCATGTCCCTGTCCCCACACCGTGTTCCTGTCCCTGTCCCCGTTGCCACACTGTGTCCCTGTCCCCATTCCCATTCCCAGCCGTGTCCCTGTCCCTGTCCCCATGCCGTGTCCCCATCCCCGTCCCCATTGCCAGCCGTGTCCCCGTCCCCATTGCCAGCCGTGTCCCTGTCCCTGTCCCTGTCCCCACGCCGTGTCCCTGTCCCCATGCCATGTCCCTGTCCCCGTCCCCGTCCCCATTGCCAGCCGTGTCCCGCAGAGCCTGGAGCCGCTGGACCCCAGTGAGAAAGCCAACAAGGTCCTGGCCCGGATCTTCAAGGAGTCGGAGCTGAAGCGCCTCAAGGTCCTGGGCTCCGGCGTCTTCGGCACCGTGCACAAGGTGGGGCTTGGGGAGGGGCTGGGGGCATCCCAGAACTCCCATTGATCCCATCCCAAAGGCCATCCATCCCATAAATCCCACTGATCCTATTGATCCCGTTGATCCCATCCCAAATTCCATCCATCCCATCAATCCCACCCCACTGATCTCATTCCATCCCATTGATCCCACTGACCCCATTGATCCCACTAATCTCATTGATCCCACCGATCCCATCAATCCCGTAAACCCCATAAATCCCATGCATCTCACTGATTCCATTGATCCCATCCCAGGCTCCGGCGTCTTCGGCACCGTGCACAAGGTGGGGCTTGGGGAGGGGCTGGGGGCATCCCAGAACTCCCATCGATCCCATCCCAAAGGCCATCCGTCCCATCAATCCCATCCCATCAATCCCATCCCATTGATCCCATTGATCCCATAAATCCCATCCCATTGATCCCATCCCAAATGCCATCCATCCCATCAATCCCATCCCATCAATCCCATCCCACTGATCTCATTCCATCCCATTGATCCCATCAATCCCACCCCACTGATTCCATTGATCCCATCAATCCCATCCAATCGATCCCATCCCATCCCATCAATCCCACCCCACTGATCCCATTGGTCCATCCCATTGATCCCATCAATCCCATCCCATCAATCCCATCCCATCCCATTGATCCATCCCATCCCATCGATCCCATCCCATTGATCTCATCCATCCCATTGATCGATCCCATCCCATCAATCCCATCCTATCCCATCCGATCTCCCAAATCCCTTCCCATAAATCCCATTGATCCTATTGATCCCATCAATCCCATTGATCTCATCCCATTGATCCCATCCCATTGATCCCATCAATACCATCCCATCAATCCCATCAATTGCATCCCATCAATCCCATCCCACTGATCCCACCTCATCCCTTCCCATTGATCCCACTGACCCCATTGATCCCACTAATCTCATTGATCCCACCGATCCCATCAATCCCGTAAACCCCATAAATCCCATGCATCTCACTGATTCCATTGATCCCATCCCATTCTGTAAATCCCATCTCAAATCCCACCAATCCCATAAATCCCATCCCATCCCACAAATCCCACCGACCCCACTGACCCCACTGATCCCGATCCCGCAGGGGATCTGGATCCCGGACGGGGATTCCATCAAGATCCCGGTGAGCATCAAGGTGATCCAGGGCTGGAGCGGGCAGCAATCCTTCCACGCCGTCACCGACGTGAGTGCGGGCACCGGGGGGTCCGGGGGTCCCCCTGGGGGGTGCCCCGGGCACACTCAGGGGGTGGTGTGGGGGTTCTGTGGGAGCGCTCTGGGGGTGCCCCAGGTGCCCCCCTGTATCTGGGGATGTTTGGGGGTGCTCTGGAGGTGCTCTGGGGGTGCCCCAGGTGCCCCCCTGTATCTGGGGATGTCTGGGGGTGCTCTGGGTGCCCCCCTGTATCTGGGGTGCCCCGGGCACACTCAGGGGGTGGTGTGGGGGTTCTGTGGGAGCGCTCTGGGGGTGCCCCAGGTGCCCCCCTGTATCTGGGGATGTTTTGGGGTGCTCTGGGGGTGCCCCGGGTGCCCCCCTGTATCTGGGGATGTCTGGGGGCGCTCTGGGGTCCCATTGATCCCATCCCAAATGCCATCCATCCCATCAATCCCAGCCCACTGATCCCATTGATCCATCCCATTGATCCCATCAATCCCATCCTATCCCATCCGATCTCCCAAATCCCTTCCCATAAATCCCATTGATCCTATTGATCCCATCAATCCCATTGATCTCATCCCATTGATCCCATCCCATTGATCCCATCAATACCATCCCATCAATCCCATCAATTGGGTGCTCTGGGGGTGCCCCAGGTGCCCCCCTGTATCTGGGGATGTTTGGGGGTGCTCTGGAGGTGCTCTGGGGGTGCCCCAGGTGCCCCCCTGTATCTGGGGATGTTTGGGGGCGCTCCAGGGGTGCCCCGGGTGCCCCCCTGTATCTGGGGATGTCTGGGGGTGCTCTGGGTGCCCCCCTGTATCTGGGGTGCCCCGGGCACACTCAGGGGGTGGTGTGGGGGTTCTGTGGGAGCGCTCTGGGGGTGCCCCAGGTGCCCCCCTGTATCTGGGGATGTTTGGGGGTGCTCTGGAGGTGCTCTGGGGGTGTCCCGGGTGCCCCCCTGTATCTGGGGATGTTTGGGGGCGCTCTGGGGGTGCCCCCCCCGTATCGGCGGCGCCCCGGGCACGCGGCGGGGGTGCTGACGCCGTGCCCCCCAGCACATGCTGGCCATCGGCAGCCTGGAGCACTCGTACATCGTGCGGCTGCTGGGCATCTGCCCGGGCCCGCAGCTGCAGCTGGTGACGCAGCTGCTGCCGCTGGGCTCGCTGCTCGACTACGTGCGCAAGAACCGCGGCGCCATCAGCCCGCAGCTGCTGCTCAACTGGTGTGTGCAGGTGGCCAAGGTCAGTGCCCGCCGTGCCCGGGGTCCCGAGCGCCCTGAGAAACCGGGGGCACACGGGGTGAGGGGTCTGGGGGGGTCCTGCCCATTCCTGCATCCCAAAAACCCAGGGGTCACACGGGGTGAGGGGTCTGGGGGGGTCCTGCCCATTCCTGCATCCCAAAAACCCAGGGGTCACACGGGGTGAGGGGTCTGGGGGGGTCCTGCCCATTCCTGCATCCCAAAAACCCAGGGGTCACACGGGGTGAGGGGTCTGGGGGGGTCCTGCCCATTCCTGCATCCCAAAAACCCAGGGGTCACACGGGGTGAGGGGTCTGGGGGGGTCCTGCCCATTCCTGCATCCCAAAAACCCAGGGGTCACACGGGGTGAGGGGTCTGGGGGGGTCCTGCCCATTCCTGCATCCCAAAAACCCAGGGGTCACACGGGGTGAAGGGTTATATTATAGACTGTATATACATATAATCTATTAAATACATTTAATAAATAAAAATTATATTAAAAATTAATATTTATTCCCGTTTTCAGGGGATGTACTACCTGCATGGTGCACAGAAAACTGGCTGTTATATTATACATTATTCAATATATAACCAATATTACACCCATGCAATAAATAAATAAATAAATAAATAAATAAAATATTAGAAATTAATCTTTATTCCCGTTTTCAGGGGATGTACTACCTGCATGGTGCACAGAAAACTGGCTGTTATATTATACATTATTCAATATATAACCAATATTACATAGATATAATAAATATATTACATAAATAAATTAAAATTATATTAAAAATTAATATTTATTCCCATTTTTCAGGGGATGTACTACCTGGAGGAGCACCGCATGGTGCACAGGAACCTGGCAGCCCGGAACGTGCTGCTCAAGTCGCCCAGCCAGGCGCAGGTGGCCGATTTCGGCATCGCCGACCTGCTCTACCCCGACGACAAGAAATACTTCTACAACGAGGTTAAGGTGGGCGGGGGCCCGGGCTGGGACCCCCAAATGGCATCGGTGTCATCCCAAATGGCATTGGTGGGACACCCAGTGCATCGGTGGGACACCCAAGGGCATCAGTGGGACCCCACTGGCATCGGTGTCACCCCAAATGGCACCCAATGCATCAGTGTGACACCCAAGGGCATCAGTGGGACCCCAATGGCATCGGTGTCACCCCAAATGGCACCCAAGGGCATCGGTGGGACACCCAAGGGCATCAGTGTGACACCCAATGGCATCAGTGTGACACCCAATGACATCGGTGTCACCCAAATGCCTTCCTGTCACCCCCAATGCCGTTGGTGTCACCCCAATGCTGTCAGTGTCACCTCAATGCCATCAGTGTCACCTCAAATGCCATCGGTGTCACCCCAATGCCATCCTGTCATCCCCAATGCCATCAGTGTCACCCCAATGCCATCAATGTCACCCCCAATGCTGTCAGTATCACCCCAATGCCATCAGTGTCCCCACGGTGTCCCCACGGTGTCCCCATGGCTGTCCCTTTCCCGCAGACGCCCATCAAGTGGATGGCCCTGGAGAGCATCCACTTCGGCAAGTACACGCACCAGAGCGACGTCTGGAGCTACGGTGAGCCGCCCCACGCCCCGGTGTCCCCGGTGTCCCCGGTGTCCCTTCTGGCCCCGGTGTCCCCCATGTCTCCAGTGTCCCCGGTGTCCCCAGTGTGCCCAGTGTCCCCAGTGTCCCCGCTGTCCCCATGGCTCACAGGTGTCCCCATGGCTCACGGCTGTCCCCGTGTCCCCGTGTCCCCATGTCCCCATGGCTCACGGCTGTCCCCGTGTCCCCAGGGGTGACGCTGTGGGAGATGATGACGTTCGGCGCCGAGCCGTACGCCGGGATCCGCCTGGCCGAGGTGCCGGAGTGGCATTGCTGTCCCTGGTGTCCCGTGGCTCACGAGCTGTCCCCGGTGTCCCCATGGCTCACGGGTGTCCCCGTGTCCCCGTGTCCCCAGGGGTGACGCTGTGGGAGATGATGACGTTCGGCGCCGAGCCGTACGCCGGGATCCGCCTGGCCGAGGTGCCGGACCTGCTGGAGAAGGGCGAGCGGCTCTCGCAGCCGCAGATCTGCACCATCGACGTCTACATGGTGATGGTGAAATGTGAGCGCCACCGGCGTGCCACCAGGGCTGCCACCGGGCTGTCACCAGGGCTGCCACCAGTGTGCCACCACGGTGTCACCAGGGTTGTCACCAGGGCTGTCCCCAGGGCTGGGCAGGGTCCTGCTCCTGTCCCCAGAGCTGTCCTCAAGGCTGTCCCCAGGATGTCCCCAGAGTTGTCCCCAGGGCTGTCCCCAGGGTGGGGCAGGTCCTGCTGCTCTCCCCAGGCTGTGTCCTGTCCGTGTCCCCGCCCATGGCCCTGTCCCCACCCCAGGGGGGGAGGGGGAGCTGGGGGGGCAGAGCAAGGGGAGGGGGGTCCAGGGCCCACCCCCCACCATGGGGGGCTTGGGGCTGGGAGAGCTTGTGGGACACCCCGGGACCCCGAGTGACATCGGGGGACACTGTGGGACACCCCGGGACCCCCAGTGACACCCCAGGACCCCACGTCATGTTCTGGGACCCTGTGCCCCCACCCTGCCCCGTGCCACACCCCAGGGCCCAATGTCACACCCCGGGACCCCGTGTCACCTTCCAGGACCCCGTGTGACACCCCGGGACCCCGTGTCACCTCCCAAACCCCTGTGTCCTGTGTGACACCAGGACCCAACCCCCGAGCCCCCCCAATCCCCCCCCCCACGGGGGGCCCCGCGTC